TGGGGAAAGGGGGGAAAAGGTGTAAAAACCGGGTGTTTTTTGCTGAAATACCCGTGGAGAAGGGAGCACAGGTGGCTGGTCCCTTAGAAAGCTGGTCTGGGGGCGAGGGTGGGCTTATGCCTCCCCCTTGGGCTTCTGAAGGACCGGGGGACTTCGGACCCACCTCAGGCCTGTTATTGATTTTATTTATTTTTTTTTCTCTTGTAGCTTAGTGTCTGAAGCAAAAGAAAAAAAAAGACATTTCCGTGGATGCGGGTTGTGAGTCGCTGGCACTGCAGGAGCCGTTAGGGTCCATTCTGATAGAAGAGCGCTTTGGAAATTTAATGTTAGTTATTGGCATGGCTTTTATAAATGGAGTTTATAATGAAAACACGGAGGAGCCTTTACTAAGTGTGGGTGCAGATAGTCACAGGAGCTCTGCTTGCAGCTGCGTGTAAGGGAAAAACAATGTATGCTCATCGGTGAAAAGCAAGGAGAGAGTGTTTATTAAAAACACTTTATTGCTGATTTAATATTGATGAAACTTGAGTCTCTCAAATTGTGCGTCATGAGCACATGCAAACTCCAGTGCTGCGTTCGGAGCTGTGGCAGTGGAGATGCAGGAACAAATGGAACTGCTGTGCGGCTGGATCCCCTCCGGTGGGGAAACCTGCCTGTGAGCAGCGTGGATGTTTCTGAAATGAGGGGGTTGTTTCAGTACAATCAAGAGAAATTGTACAATCTGGAGAAACTCCCTAGAGTTTGGGACGTTTTGCTGTTGACTTTCAGAAGAGAAGCTCCATCAGCAGACCTGGAGCCTGGTTTTGTAGCTGTGCTTTTGCCCAGCAGTCCTGCACGAGTGAGACGAGGGCAGCTCTGCTCCTAGTTCTGTCCTTTTAGAGCGTGGGGAGACATGCAACTTGGGTTGCCTTGATTAAAGCTTCAGTATTAGAAAGCAACATCATTCAGTGCAAGTCATACTCATCGCTATTTCGTATGCTTCATTTACTCTGAGCTCTGTATTAGTAATGTTTACTAATATACTAAATGACAAACAAATGCAATGAAATTCTATGCCCAGGAGGGCTGACTGAGAACCAGCAGTCTTGCCAAAACCAACAGGACTGGGAAGCCCTCGGCACCCTTACAGAGCAGGCCAGAAGGTGCTGTGTGTAGGCATTATTGGTAAAATATTTTTATGCTTTGTAGAGATCTTTTAAATATTTAAAAACAGCTGTAGCAGAGTGCTTGGAAAAGTCAGGGACAGTTTGTATGCTTGCAGTATTATGTTCCTGTTTCCCATTAACTAGCAGCTGTTGTTTTTTTGGGGAGAGTGGGAATAAGAAAAAGAAAAAAAAGAACTCCAGACCCTGTATGTATGTATGGTACATTACTTGAGGAAAAATAGGAGATCCTGGCAACAGAGTTTCTGTAATTTTCTGTAGGCTTTGAAATTGTTCATTGGAAACCATTAATGTAAGACACTGATCTTGCAACATTTGCTCCTCGAGTATCTTCGTCCCTGTAAAAGCTGGTGAGAATTTTACAGCTGAGTTCAGTGATATCAAGGTTGTGCTGCTCCGCTGGGTGCAGGATGGGTTGTAGAGCCCTGGCACTCTTAGTCACCAGTGCCACCCTCTGTTCGCTGGTGTTCCAACTGGACAGGTAGACCTGCCTCACACTGCAGTCCTCTTTTCACATCAAACCCTTTTTTTTGTAGTTCAGAAAAGGACATGCAGAAATGTAAGTTATCAAGGCAAGAAACTGAAAAATAAAGGCAGCTCCAGAAGGAAAAGGGAAACCTTCAGTACATTTTCTGTGCCCAGTGAGCAGGTGTTTGTGGATCACCCGCTGTGCTCGTTTCAGGCTGTGCTGGAAATGTTTCCCATGCTGATATGCCAATGGATTGTCTGGCTTCTCAGCCAGCCTGTAAAGAAAAATGATCTTTCTTTCATTGTTGTCCTCCTTGGTCATTGTATCTGCTGTGTTTTGTTTTTAATCAGATGTTTATGTCAAGGCAGGGACTTGCTGAAGTTTTTTGTATGGTGGTTAGCATGGAGAGTTACATACAATTTACATATGGAATTGGAAAATTTCTTGTACGGAGCAGCAGCAGCAAAGCTGGTGGCTTCAGAATGCAGTACCTTAAGATAAATGTGTTAAAATGATTCCTTCCATTTGTATGGATACTTCCCCAGCCACGCATAAAACCATTTGTCCTTGCTGTGTTAACTATTCTCTCTGGGACAGAGCTATAGTTGCAAGTTTTAATAATTCTCTTTTTTTTTTTTTTTTTTTTAACTTACTTTTTCATGTAAAGTGTGTCTTGTAAAAATTCTTCCTTACAATGAAGTTAGGAATTCCAGTAAGTTCAGTATTCTCACATAGTCCTGTCCACTCGAGCAGTACGTTCGTCTTGTCCTGGGAGTTATCTGTAGAATCTCAGGTCCTGTGTACAGTTTACACAAGTGACACTGACCTTTGAACAGAAAAGGAGCGAATGCTGGTGACACGTAGCTTAAATTGCTTTTTGATTGTGTACGGCACTATTTTGTGTTCGTGAATGTGGTTGGAACCAGGGTTGAAAAATAACACCGTTGTAAATATCAGCCTAGATGGATGCAACAGAAGTAGGGAAATTGAAAGAAGATGTCTCGAGCTGGTCTGAACTGTTTTTTTGCTCTCTGGTCCAAATATTGTTAATTATGGTCAAATTAGTGCTGATATCAGAATCTGATTACTCTATCTGGTCATTTTTATGGTTGCAGGAAGTGGAAATGCCTTTATCTTCAGTAGAACTACATAATTATAACTTTCTTTGAGGCGTATGTGTTTCTGGGGGTCTGTGGCTGCTTTCTTTTCAGCCTACAGCAGGTATCGCATGGGTGAAGCTACCACAGCAGCTGCTGGTAACACAATTAACCATTTGTCCTCTTACTTCCAGGAACAAATGAGAGATGATGTTTCACATTCTGCTTTGAAATAGTACAAGGAAATATGTGTAGTTACCAAAATAGTGTTTCTTTCCTTCAAACATCTGGGGGCAATAGGGCTAGGATGTCTGCATGACAGCTTTTGCTTCTTGCAGCACCTATGATGGGAGAGCAAGTGATGGACCATAACTTTGTGGATTATTTAGAGCTCTTGATGGTGGACATTTTTTACATTTTTATTTTATTGCACCTGTAAAAGAGGAACATACACTGTTTTTCATTAGACCATACATTTAAAACTATGAATAGTGTACACTTATGTAAAGTAAATTATTTTAAAAGTTGTTTTTTTTTTCTTTTGATCAGAAACTTGCAAAAAACCTGGATAACTTTGATCACAGGCTTTTGGAAATAATTTTTGTGAAATGACTGACTTAATACAAGGTTGTAGCTAGATAATTCCTCTGGTCTTCATGGCTCACCAATTAGGAAATAGGCTAATGGAAGAGGTACAGGTAAGGTTGGCCTCCTAACAGCTGTGCTGAGAGGCACATTTTCCTCTGAAGTAGGGGTTGCAAAGCACTGCCTTTGAAATTTCGAGCTTTCCTCTTTAATTCCTCAAAATGTAGCTTAAAAGGTACTCTGATTATAACCTGGGTGAATGGGGAGAAAAGTGGATGGGACTGACTCATCTTGCAGACCAAAATGAAGGAAATGACTTGGCTGCAGCTCCAGCCCCAGCTAAATTTGCAAGGGCTTTCCTTGTGGGAGAGCTTGCAGGGACACAAGAAGCCTGACATACTGTAACTTCCCTGGTCAGTTGTGTGCTGTGTCGGGCAGAGAGCTGTGCCTATGAAGTCACCTCTGCACTGAGCCGTGGTCAAGGCTTAAAGCAGTGTCAGGGTCACTGCGTGATCGTATCAAAGTCTATGGTGAGGGCAAAAGCTGTGAGCAGAAGGTGGTTTTCCTTACTCTAACCAAATTCTTTGGTTTTGTTAGCAGCTACTGGTTCCTCTGTGGGGCTGACCCTCCACTGTGCGCTGGCTTGTTGAGCCGCTGCCCTGGGTAACACAACAGGGATATGCTCAGACCACACACTGATAGGAGTGGTAAAAATCAGAGAGAGTCACTCTTTTTCTGTGTCCGTGTACAGTTTCCCTCCAGGCTGCAGAGCCAACAGCTGGGTAGTAGTCTGTGTGTATCATACAGGGTATGTGTGTATATATAGTACAGTTCATGCACCCCCAAACTGAAAGGCCAGTGGATTACATAGCGTGGGCACCAATTCTTTTGGCAACATAGATGTTCTCAAGGAAATTCTTCTAAGAAATATTTAAGGAATGAGAATACTTCGGAGAAACTCCCCAAATCTCATTTCTTGCCCCAGCATTCTCTGACTCAATATGTAAATTTTACTAATCATCCAGTTCTGGTTAACTACAAAGGCAACCAAACTGTGTATGTTCTCCTCTGATATCCTCTGTTGGGCTTTTTTAAAAGTATAAAAATGCTTATGTTTGGGTTTTAACAGAATTTATGTGACTATAGGATGAAAACCAAAAAGAACAAAGTACTTCAAATGAAAGAACAGTATTGAAATATTGCTGGGAAGTGTGGTGAAGTCACTTGGGTGCCCAAATGCCTTTGTGTATGCTGCACTTTGAACATTGAGTACCTCTTGGGCATTTTGGTTGTTTGGATTTGTAGTGCCTTTCATATGAGCAAACCCAGGTGGTGACCAATGCTCAGCAAAAGCCTGGAGACCATGAGGTACTGTATAGCTCTAATGATGAAAGAAGAGCTGTGTTGATATTTAATTGATATTGTAAGCAATTTTTTTTTTCCTCAAATGCCTTTCTGATTTTGTTCTTCCTTTCTGCTTACAAAGGTGTATCGAATTAACTGAAGTGCACCAAAATGAAACCCTAATGAAGTAATAGACTGATTATTATCAGCTCTCAGTTAATTTTCTGTATGCTTTTCAGATCAGCTCTACAGAACAAGATGTATTGGCAAATCATTCTGACCGTGTTTGTGCTGTTGGGTAAGTTACTAAAAAAAAAAAATCAATTGGAAATTATGTGGAATGAAGAGTAATCACCATTTCTGTTTTACAAGGGTGTTTCAAGTCATGCTACTGGATTAATATCTTATCACAACATGCAACTAGAATATACAAAGGACCTGATGTTATCGTTGTGCAGAATTGAAATGTTGACACTCTCAGGGTTGTGCCTGCATGTCTTATCCCAAAAAGCAGTGCAACTGACTTTTAAGATCAGGAAACATCAGTAGAAAGTATTTGGTGAGTCAAAATATGATAAGATAGAAGTTCACGGGCCATTTGTTTTATTATCCTAATACGTTCAAAAGCAGAAGGAAAAATCCCAGTTCCATCAGAACTGCAAAGTTTCTGCTTAGTTCAGTGTAGCCACGATGTCACTTGGAGTTTGAGCTCTGCTTTTTCAGGTAGCTGACCTTCCTGCTTTCATGTGCACGTGCTGTTAAAGGGGGCTCAATTAACTGCAAAAGCTGGATATAATAAACTGAGTTTCTAGCTGGGAATCACTCGTAACAATATTGGTGTATGCTGTATGCTGTTCAGGGACAGCTGGTATTTGCCTTTCTTTTTTTTTTTTTATTAAAATAAGAACTATTTAAAGACTTCTGGTGCTGATGCTTAGGGAGAAAGCAGATGCTGTAAACCAATGAAGTTAGTTTCAAAATCTGTGTCATCTTGTATCTTCACAAAAGATGAATAAATCATTAGATTTCTGTATCTTTTCTATATACATATACATCTTTATCTTTCTGTATACCTACCTTTATCCACTCAGCATCAAATATTGCATTGTTGACATTCATTTAAATACCTTACATCATCTAAACATATTATGTACCTTTTAATTAGAAAACTTGGATGCCTCAGGGAGTTTTCATTAGGCTTCAGAGTGCTTTGGCTCGATCTGATGGCATGTAATGACTGAAAGTCAGAGTATCCATTGAGCGGCCATCTCCATTTGGTTCCAAATAAGGAAATAGCCATGGCTGGCATCTTTGTAGCCCTGTTAACCCAGCCAGGCAAATATGCTGCTATTCTGGGGACAGAACTGCAATTCTGTAAGTGATGGCTTCCTCTGTGTCTGTGGCATGGACACACTGTTAAATCTGTAGCTGGAAGATGTCCTTAATGCACGCTGTGGTTTATGAGCAGGCATTTAAGAGCTATGGTAGTCCTGTATTAAGCCTTCTGTATTGTTATGCATTATAGTTCTTTTAACTTTTTTTTTTTTTTTTTTTTTTACATTTCTGAAGAAGTGGAAAGCAGCTGCACACATTTTGACTTTATAGGATTTAATTAATCCCTTGAGATTGTCTGGTGTGATATGCGAGGGGGAAGTAGTTTTTTAGAAAAAGAGATGACTGGCAGGAATCTCTTCACACCCCCCAGCTGATGCTGTGAGTTGGGAGTATGTTGGTTATCTGTCCTGCTCCACAGGCAGTCATGTCACTTACTCATTTGGCCTTTTTTAATCATGTGTTATGGACTAATAGTCTGTTTGGTCAACTGAATCCTCCGCATGCAGCCAGGAGGGCTAATGAAGCTGATCTTTAGAGAGGCACAAACTCTGTTAAATGAGAGAGGAGGAAAGAGCAGAACCCTTCAGGAGCCTGGAGATACAAAATCAGTGTAAAGAGAAAATGAAATATGCTGCATGGTAACACAGTGTCTGCTTTTTAGGTAGCATGCATCTACTTTTTAAAGAGCTTTCATTTTGTGTTTTTATATTATTTAGCTTATGCTTATGTGCTATTAATCAAACAGTGCCAGAGAAATTCTGTTTTTCTTACTGTGGCTATTGCAAGGCATAGAGCATCAATTAATTTCTGTCTAATGAAGTGCTTAAAATATTTATGCCCTTACTGAGCAAAAAGCTAAATGCAAAGTGCACAAATGACCCACATGCCTCTGTAACTAGAGCTTTAATCTCTGAAATTCACGCAGTGTTTTACAGTAAGCTATTTCCAAAACCGACATGCTTATAATTCTCAAAATCATTCTTAGCATGATTCAAGCTATGACTTACCAACAAGAGCTACAAATGTGGTCAGAGCAATTTTAATTTGAAGAATCTAAGCCTGATGGAAAAGATCATTCTTTTCCTGCATCTTATTTCCCAGATAATGCCCTGGGGTTTTGCAGTTACATCCCGTTGTTTATTCTTGTAATACTGTTCTTTGGTATTTAACAGTTACAATATGACTGTGCTTCATTTACAGTGGGATTATTTTTTCTCCAGTAATGGAGCTGTGTTATAAGAGCTGGATTGCAAGTGTCCCAGCACTGCAGGGGGAGATGAGACTCATACCTGTATAGTGTGTGCACTTAGGTTTAGGATTCACTGTATTTTGAATTAATATAAGCCAATTTACCCCAAGGAGGTGCTTCCCCTGCAGTCTTCATCTTGACCTATTTCAAGAGGTTGAGAAAACAAAAAGTTAGGTATAGCGACTTTGGGGGAGAAGGCTGGCGTCTGTCAGTTGTGACACCAGTTCAGAGGGGATGTTTTTCTAATTTTGTCTGCAACGCAGGGGAGAATAGCCCCTGGGAACAGTCTGATTTTTTATGTAATGAATGTGGTTTTGTGTAACACCAACCATTCCTTTTTCATTGTCAAGCAATATGAACTTTTCTTTCCAATATCTTTGCCTTTATATTTGCAGACTTTCTTCAAATGGCAGTTGCCCACTGTATGGTCTATCAAATTCCTCCCAGGAACTTTACCTTACCCTCTATGCTGCTGAACGAGACATTTTTGAGTCCTTTCTCTGCTGGAGTTGTAGAGAGATGGTCCGGTTTGCGGAGAGAGGGTGGAGCATCTGAAACCAAGCCTCCCTTGCTAATGAACACAGAAAGTTTTCTGTGTTGCCTTTGGAGTGATAACAACATTGATTGTTCTTTGTACAGAGCAAGCATGCAAACAAGGAAGTTTATTCCTTCAGAAATAAGTATCTCTGCTTCTCAGGAAATAGGTAGGTTTTCCATTCAAGGGCATAAGAAGTTACTACTACTTCAAAAAATGGTCAAGGTTTTTTGTTGTTTGGGAGGAGGGGAGTGGGTTGTGTCAATGGGTATTCATTTTTACAGAGAGCTGATCACATGGTATGGTAAAATCCTTCCTCACAAAAGTTTAAAGTGGAAAATGAAGGGAATTGTATAGCACAGTTTCAAAGGGGGAAAAAAAAGGTGCCTGTCTTTCTAGGGGAATTATGAATAAAATATGTAGCACTGCATATGAGGATATAAGCACAGATCTTCAAAGGTATTTAGAAGCCATAAGAAATATTTTAAGTATTTCTGTGGATATGGGCTTTAAGCTCCTGAAGGAGGTGGGGGAGATGGAGGGCAAGGGCCATCTTTTCTGCCTGCATTGTGATGCCTTAGTAAATATCTGTACATGGATTAGATTGAATTATTTTTTCCTAGGCTGTTTTTCTCCTCCTGTAAACCACAGTCTCTGAGCAGCACACAGGCCAGCTGGCCTACTGCTGTCAGCGGCAGGAATCTCATTGACCTCGGTAGAGTAGAATTTCATTTTGAAAGAACTGTCCCATGGAACAAATAAATCTGTGTTGAAGACTGCCACACTAAATTTGTCTGAATTTATTTCTTCCCATTGTGGCCTTGTCTGTAAAGTCAGATAAAATATAATCCTGCTCTAATAATTAGACTGCAGCAGTATCACATAGGTTGTTAGCCTTTCAAGTGTTCAGGGGCATGTATTAGTGCCCAGTTCAGCAAGGATTATTCATAAACATTTGCACATTTGTGGTCCAGCCTCACCTTCATAAATATCAGTTACTTGTCCTCTCCTTGTGGGTGAATTTTATCCTGGCTCTTCAGTTGTTTTTCTTTTTTGGTTTTAATATAGCTCATCAATGTTTAATCTCTTTCTTTTTTTTCAGATTCAAGTTGGAACATTGAATGTTGGATTAAAGGCAAGCTGGACCTGTTAGTTTGTAGCCTGCGGTTTTTGAAGTTGTCCTTGAGAGCCGACTTGAAGGTTAATCTCTTATATGCTGTGTAAGTACAGACTCTGTTAAATTTGCCACTATTAGCATTAGAAATCTGAAAGCATTTTCTCCAACATCAACATTGGCCTCTCAAGCTTGCAGCACAGTGGTAGCATTAGCTTTGCAAGAAGATGATATGATATGTTATGTACCTTTGTCTTATCTAAAAGTAACTCTGGACAATGTGGAAAGTTTATGTTTCTGTCTCTGAATGAGAGATGGCTGGAATGGAGAGTCCTCCTCCTCTGTCCTTTCCATGTTTCTTAAAATGCTTTAATTGAAATCAGTGTTGACTTCCTAAAATACCTTTGCTGTTACAATTGCTTAATTTTAAAGCTGTGATCTTCCAGTGTTCCTCATTACTTTGATTTCTGAAATGCCATTACTTGTGTGTTTGTGGGAGAAGTAGATCTGACTTTGTTCTATCCAGTCTCAACTGCAATATCAAAATCTTTGCCAGTATTCCTAGTGTAGTAATCTCTATATTGAATTTTTTTGGTATGCCTAACATCCATGGAACAACAGATTCGAGTCCCAGCTGGGATGAAGAGGTTCTTTGTATTAGGAAGGGAATTCAGTGTCATGCAATTTATGCCAGCAGGCCATATAGGCTCATTAGAGTCCTTGTGGCATTTCTGCATTTGATTACTTTCTGCGAGATGCAGTGCGGTCCCTGACATTGGAGAACTTGTTTCACTCCCCAGATTTCATATTAATATATTCCTTTTAGGGTGCCTGTGTTCTAGGGGAACAGCTAGCAAAGCATTTCAGATTTTGGTAAGGTGACAGCTTTCCCTGTTGGCTTGCTGGTACCTTAACATTTTATTCACATGAGCCAAAATACCTTGAAAACATTCCCAGTTTTAAAAATATTTGTTCCTGGCATGTGTTACTCTCTGGGAGTCTGGAGATCAACCCAGAATTCTCACATATAGGACAGGCAATGTACAAAAATAATGACCTAGAAGAATCTACAACAAAAGAGCTTGGGTCCTCAACAGCTTTTGGTTTTTTCAGCATTAAAGAAGTATCCTTGCATTTTACACATCCACAGTTTGCCTGCTTGTAAATGATATCAAGTTACTTTGAACAGAAAATGTTTTGTTCTTTCCAAAACAGTGTAAGAGGCTCAAGCAAGGGTAATGATGGGGTTTTACCCTCTCTAGCAGCGTGTCTCTGGGAGGAGAAAGGTTATTCTGAAACTTGACTAGGCAAATTAGGTTAACTGTCTACCAAAAGCGAATCATCTTTCCAGTTGTATGTATTTTAGGAATGCTGTAAATGCTGACGATTAATTACATTAACTGAAACCACTTAGCCTTGGGGATCCTTTCATAGTGACACAGGTTGCTCGTGCAGTCCTGAGTTGTTGCAGTTCTCCACAATACTTTGGATTTCTGCTGTTTTGCTTGTAATCAGGTCTCACACATTTAGCCTGGGCTTGTCAATTTGGAATAAGTTGTTGTGGGGATGATCACATTCTCTTGATCTATTCTCTTATCCCAAACTCAATTTTGTGTCCCTGTGTCTTGCCAGTTTGTGGAAATGCAAAGGTCCTTACCTTGTTTCTTGGTATCTGTGTATCTTTCTCTGGGAGCAGACCTGGCGTCTGATAACATCGCTTGGTCTTTCCCCTTGCTTTGCCCTGGTTGCCTGCAGACGTCGAGAGCTGTAAGACAAGTCTAGAGCATAGCAGTGAGATGCTGGTAATTCTCTGTCACAAGGGGTGGAAGGCCTGCCTGGCAGGGAGCCACAGGGTTTTTCTCCAGTTACACTTGCTTTCCTCCATACAGAATTTTATACAGTAAACAAATTAGAAAGTTTGTGTGGTGGAGCAGGGAGAAATAACAACCTGTGCCTGTTTATTCCCAGCTAAGTGGCCTTTGAAACACTGGCACAACACAACACAGGGAGGAGCTCTCCAGCATTTTCCCCCTGTACACGAGTGGTCTTCAGGGTGCAAATAAGCTCAGTTAAAAATGGGAATAATCCTTGAGAATGATTGGGAGAAAGATGGTAGCAGGGGTTGTAACCGCTTTTCCAGATGAGGTTTTATAAGATAAAAAGACACTGATGGAAAGACTATGTTCTTACAGATTGTTTGTGGGTTTGTTGAGACGAATAAAATCTGTGAGCAATAATAGAAGGCAGGGAAACTGAAAAGAAGATTCTGTGAAGTCTTTGAAAGGAAATTCGAGAGAAAGAAGTGGAGCCACAACTATAAAAACAAAAGTATTCCAAGTAGTTTAAACGCAGTATGTCTGCCAGATACCATCAGCATAAGGTTCAATAATTCTCGTGTCCTAAAGTCTGTGAGTCCTGGTAAAAATTATTTTAGGAATGTCAGTATTGCCTGACTGTAGTACTAATAAATGTAAACTACGTATTCATATGAACCTGCTTAGCTTATGGGGTCCTTACTGCCGAGTACAAAACTGAAAATCCTTGTGTTACCTTCTTCAAAGAGATTCCTAAAACCCAGGTGGAGGTGTGATGTGTGTGTGTTGACTAGTGAATGATGAGTGGGGCCCCGATTTGGGGAGATCCATGTGCGTACATCGAGGGTTCCCTTGCAGTGCCAGCCAGCATCATTTGCACGCGCTCTCCCCGTAATTCATCAGCCCTTTGTTGCTCCCAGCCTCTCCTCAGTTTTTGACTTTTTTCAGTAGGGCAGATTATGGTAATGGGATCAGTGAGTGATGCCCATTTCCCCTGTGCTCTGCAGTCGATTAAATATACTAGATACCAAAGTGACTAAAACAAAAAAAAGCAGAAAATCTTGTCCTTCCTTCTCCTCCAGTGTCGAGTTCTCTGCCCTCCGTGAATTCAAGTGTTACGATGAGTCATGCCAGCTATAACATGATTTAAAACCTTTACAGAAAGGTTCTTATTCTATTAACTTCAGTTTCTTGCTCTGAATTAGTGAAACAAACCTCTTGCTATACAGAAATAATTCCAAAATCACTTAAAAACGTAAGCTTTTTTTGTAAGGATGAAATGTCAAAAGCAGGAAGGAATCCAGGATGGGTTAACTGTCAGGATTTGTCTTGGCTTTGCCGCTGTGAGAAGTTTGGCTGCGAAGTATTCACGCTATTAAATTTCACTCCCTTAAGGAGGCCTGTGTCACCGAATACCTGCAGTACGCCATAAATGTGTATCTGTGTTTGAAAGAGCCCAAAGAATATCTGTGGAATAGAAATGAGAATGAAGAATACTTTGGGAACTGCTGGTGCCCTCAGAGTAGAAGCAGCTTTGTGCCCACTTGTGTTTATTTCATAAATCAAGAATAGTTTGACTAAAGTCAATGGAGATTGAAAATATGTATAAAAGAGTAACCGTACACATGAGGATTGCTCTAAAAATGCCTCTGAAACATATTTGAAAAGCATCTGTGTACTAATGTGTACATGGAAATAGCACGGGTCTTCTTTGTGCTGCTTCTGGAAGTAGACCCAAGGAAGCCTGTATATTTTTCAGAGATATGAATTAAATGTGATGGCCTGTATTTCAATATGAACATGTATGTTCTTTTTGCGTCCTATAAAACATTTGCTAGCATCTAGAGACATAATGCAGGACTGCTTGGACCAGTATTTGCTACTTTGCCCTTTATTTCATTTAAAACGTATCAAAATCATGTTATTAGAAAATCTGATTAAACTGTTTGTAAAACATATATTATGCCCATGCAACCATTAGTTGTTTAAAACTTCACAAGTTTATCTTAGACTGTACAGTGTTTGCAGTGGATTGTGTAAACAAAAACTGTGTATGTGAAACTCTCAAGGAAACTGTGTATGTGAAACTCTCAAGGAAGGAGTGGTAATAGAAAGAAAAAAAAAAAAGAAAAAAACCCCCCTTGAAACTAAATCTGAACATTCAGTCAAAAGTAGTCCCATGAGGAGCAATAAAAGCAAAATGTAGTAAGTTACTTCCTGAATACTTTCCATGAGCCTGTCCAAGAAATAGTAGTAAAGTGTGTGAGTAAATAATTTGCTTTCCTAGGAAACATCAGACTATCCAATACACAAACATGCTGCATGTAAAAAATAATTAAAGCCTTAGCTTGGAATCAACTGCACGAAGTTAAGACTTTTGGAGGACACTGGTGTCTATTTTTTTTTTTCCAAATACTGTATGTTGTTGAAAATGAGTACTAAAATGTGTTCTGAATGGAGGAGTTCTTTAGGCTTTTGTTATTCCAGAACTTGTTTTTCCCTTGAATAATCGCTTTTGATTATTATATTACTTGTAATGCTTAATTATAGGAGAAGCTGGAAGGAATGTTAAATTGTTTAGATTTTATTTCAGTGCCTCATGAATAGGAAATGGAACATGATCTCTGTGGAGGTGGCAGAGAGCTGCCAATCACTCCACTGTAAGGTAAACTACCTTTGTGTGCCCAAGAAGTATCTAGTAGTAGTTACCATCAGGAATCAGAAACTAGTCTGACTAAATTAAAGGTGTCATCTAGTATTGTAACGCATTTGTTTTAAAGTCAAACCTTAGGAATACTTCCCATTAAATCATCTTAACTACTTTACTTGGAAACCATTTCAAAAGGGAGAAGCAACAAAGTAAAAGCAATTGGTAACAATTTTTCTTTTTTTTTTTTTTGGTACGTAAATCTTATCCAGATGGACAAACCTCCTCTACTGAGATAGAGTATAGAAAGAAATACTGGTTTGCTTTGTTTTATGGTTTGTTTTTTTCCTTACAGATCAGAGCTTTCACTGGGAGATGTATCTACGAGCTGTCTAAAGGGCACTGTCACAGCTGCTCAGTGTGACTGCAGCGAGTACAAGTGTGAGTGCTGTGTGCCGTCCCTGAGACTCAACCACACTTACATCATGTGGCTGGAGATTATGATTGGTGTAACGCCTCTGTGGTCACCTCTGATGTCAGTCAAGCCCATAGATATAGGTAGGTATGACCTACATTTTAAACTTCTTTTGATGGAGAATAGCAGCAGGATATCTCTTGTGGAGAAGGAGGGCACAGACCAGATAGGAAAAGGCTTCTGGGTGCTGAGGACAGAAATTAAGAAGTGAGCGGGGGAAAAAAACCAAACCTGTTCCTAAAGTTACTTAGAAAATAAAACTACCTCTTCTCTGAAGCAGCTCTGTTGCCCTGATGCCTTCTTCCATGCATGTAGAATTTCAGCATTTTCCGAGTTGGAACACATTCCTCTGTATTTAAGCAAGTTAAAACGATACTGACGTTATGAATTTGCTATCCAATATGCACAGTTATTGCAGGTCCTGGCAAATTTCAAAAAGGCAGGGACTCTGTCAGCTGTGGGGGAAAAAAATTGGAGTTTTACAGACTTCTTCCTAACTGATGGGCTTTGCAGGCAGAATAAGTTAAAAGTCTCTGTGTGGGCTAGTTTTGAAGATGAGAGGTTTCATTTTTCATCTTGCTGCTTTTAAATTCTGCTACAAGAAAGAAAAATTCAGACTTGCATCTGCCAGTATTTAAAATGACATAATTAGTTTGTTCTGCTTAGTGAAGTATATTTTTAAAATGCATAATATTAGTATATGTTCTGCCAAGATTTAACTCAAGTAAAAATTATTTTGAAAGTAAAACTCTGAATGCTTGTTTAATATAGAGTTGTACTTGCTTATAGATGGTATAAGTAGAACACATGGCATCAGCAGAGCAGACATCATTATTTATATTGTAAGATTCATGAAAGTGTGGTGTAAAAGTTACTGGCTTGTTTTAAAAGTCCTCCCCAATCACTTATTTCTGCTTGTCTTCATCAAGTTAATTGTTTTGAGATAGTATATAAGTAATAATAAAATAAGATTTGACTTAGTGTGTTGAATTTTTATGGAAAGTAGTAACAGGGTTTTGGTAAACTGAGTGAGATTCCAGTAATACCAGTTAAATGAGACACCCTGAAGAGCTGAGAGACCAGTGAATTGCCATTTTATATTTAATCTGGTATTGATGGAGGCAGACTCTGTCTCGAGTAGACCCCACAGGAGCTGTAGGAGGTTCCAGGTGACACTGATGTGTTTGTTGTCTGACCATGAGGTTGAAATGGGAGGAGGCAGTTCCTCTGGTTCTCCACTGGCTAACGCTGTGGATGTGCATCATCTTCTGAACTCTGCCAGCTCAGTTACTGCTACCAGCCCACCTTCACTTACACAGAGGTTACTTTCATTTTCATTGTCCCATTACAACTACTTCTATGAGCCTTTCCCAGACTCCTGCACTCATATTTTCCAGGTTAGCCAAGACATAGTGTAGACAGCATAAAGCCCTGAATGGGAGGCGTGGCTGTATCTGGGGTGTGGGGGCAGGCTGGGGGCATTCAGGGCAGATGGAACTCAGAGTGAACCTGTGCCCACTGCCCAGGACCCTCGGAAATGCTTGCCCTTCAGCTTTTGCACATGCTGTTTACACTGCAGTGCTTTTTAACAGGATATTACCCTTGCATGGGAGAAGCTCAGAGCTGAATGAGGACAAGGTCAACCAAAGGACACTGTACTTACACGGTGACTTGAAATGGTCACAGTAACGGGTGAAAGTAGGATCTAGGTTCTTTGCCTTTGTCTGAGGAAGAGTGAGTGTAATCCGAATCCTCACTCTAGGCTGCCCATCCATTTCCCTCTGCAGAGGGTTATCTTCATCCTCATGGGAAGTTTCTGAAACCCTCCCTTTTTACTTTGCCCTAATGTAGCTCTTCTGGAGACCTTCTTTCGTAGCCATAATCACTGGGGAAGGGATGGGAATATTTAGAAATTTTCTGTGTGCAGTATGAGGACATTATTTGCTGTCTCTTAAGGAGCTGAGCAAAGCAATTTGCGCTCCCATCCCTCTCAGCCGTCTTTTCAGCAGAACAGGTGAGTGTGTGCTTGGTTACTGGGAAGAATCATTGCCCAAGGCAAGAAATTAATGTAGTTTTAAGGCAAACGTTAGGTCAAGCAGCATGTCCTGATGACTAACTATATAACGGTGGCAGGGTGCACTTTTCCAGTGATATTACACAACATTACGCCTGTCATACACTAGCTGTAGAGCAGCTCTTGAAAACGGAGCTTAAAGAAAAGGCGTGAAAGAGACTTGTGAATCAGTAAAAACCCATTACTGCCAGCCGTCACAGGCAATAAGGTTATTGGTAAACTTGTCAATTAATTTGTCCGCAGTAAAGCCTGAACCTCCTTTGAACCTGCATCTAGAAATGACAGAGAAAGGTCAAGTGAGGATCTGCTGGTCTGAGCCTGTGCTGATGCCATACCCACTTCAGTATGAAGTAAAGATCTCTGCAAACTCAGGTCAAAAGGGCTGGCAGGTGAGTCAGCTCTGCTCGCTCTGTTTCACAATGGAGCAGTGCAGGTCAGTGGGTCTCTTCCTGAGCTCAGAATTTCTTACCACCCTCCTCGTCCCTGGGCAGCAGCTCTGGTGGGCTGAGCAACGTGGCTGGTCTGGTGGGGTCGAGTATGGCACGCTGGTTTCTCCTGAGCTGGTGTGTCATGAAATAAAAACATGAAATAACATGTTTTCTGCAGAGGTAAACTATATTCAAATTTACAGTAAATTTAAAGAAGAAAGCTTTTTTTTAACCCAACTTGATACCTAAAAACTACTCTCCAGACTATTTGTTTTGGCTCCCTCTGTCTCTTCCTTTTTCCTGTTTCATTATACAACAGTAATGGTTTCTCCTAATCCAACAGATGGTTCAAGTTGCTCTAGAAACCTCACTGGCCATAGACAATTCACTACTTGATTCTTCATACTTAGCTCAAGCGCGGTGCAGGAATCGTCATGGGCCAGGCTTCTGGAGTGACTGGAGCACACCGCATAATCTCAACTTTGGAGGTAGGTCATGGGCAGTAAGTAGTCTTTTGGAACAGAACAGATTTCCCAGTTTGGTTTGTGGAATGAGTTTTTGAGAGCATGTGTTATCCAGGGAGGCACAGGAGTTGGGCTGAAAAAATCCTGTGGAAGTTCTTTCCCCCTCTCCTTCTCTTTCTGCATGGCTTTGCCTGAGATTCTGCTCTTTCCTTTGTACCAGACTTGCACTAAAAGAGTTCTGGACTATCATCTTATATACTGTCATCAATTTACTGCCCAAACAGGGCAAGTTCCTGACATGTCACACACACTAAGAGCTCTCCTGGACTCTGAAAAGAACTCTTATGATTTAGTGAGGTCCCTTACATCAATGTAGCTCCTGCTAAAATGATAGAACATAAAGGCTTTTTGTTCATGGTCAGAGCATATAGGAGGGGAAAGAAATTTTGCATTGTATTCTCCCATATTCTCCCAATGGCCAGTGATAGGTTGAGCCAACGGAGGAACAGCGGAGCACGCAGCACAGCTGGGAGCAGCGAAGCCTCTGGTACAGGAGCACTGCCGTGCGGTCACGGAGGCACATCAACACCGAGAGCAAATGCTGAAATCAGGCAGCTAGGTTTTTCTACAGCTGACTCGTTTCACGTTATGATTCATATTTAAGAAGAAAGTCTTTGACAATGACAACATTGTAGGTGTGCTCTACCATCTGAGAAGGCCTGTGTTCTGGAAAAATCCTAAAAATATCTGACATGGTTCCTTAACTATGGAAAGCAAACCTGACCTTTTAAGGATTTTCATGCCGGCTTTGAGTTGATCTTCAGCAAACTGTTCCCTTTCAGCAGGTGTGTAACACCTGTCGCTTCCCTAAGGACCTGACTGATGGGGGCTGAGCTGTGCATGTTCACGTGATTGGCAAATTCAGTCTCTTTGTGCACTGGTGAATTACTTACTGTACCACTGCTACCATTTGGTATTACCCACACTGCTGAGATTGTAAAACAAGTTTTTGAGACATTAATCTCCTGCTGACTTCAATATGAGCAGGATTAATAACTCTTGGAAAGCTTATTTTATTTTTTAAATTTTTTTAAGTCCCCTCTCTCCTATTTCTAAACAGCAGTTCTCTCAAAATCTATGTTCCAGTATTACAGTAATGCTTCAGCTGACATATGATTTCAACATCCTTGCAGGGTTCAAAATGTTAGACTTTTTGTTTTTTTTTTTCAAACCCAAACATTGCTCTTTGCTTATTTGGATCTCCTCTCACTTTCTCCTGAGGCCAATTTTACAATTTTAAAATTTGTGGTGTATTTGTTTGTGAGACGAGTGACAGAAGCTAACCCTTTCTAGGGTGCAAGTACTTGTTGCAGCGTTTAAATAAGCTGACCTGGTGCCTTTAAAAAGTGGTCTGAGTAAAAAGCAGTGGTGTTAATCTAGTTTCCCAGGATGTAATTTGCAGGAGCCTGTATGTCTTTCCCTTGTGCTGCTGTGTATTGCTTTCACTGTATCCCCCAGTGTTTTTCTGCTCATTTAATTCCTGTTTGCCTGGGGATATTAAGGATTATTTTTATCAGAATTTATGAACATCAGTTACTGGGGGGAGACAGTCGAGGGCTCATTTCTGCCCCTCTCCCCTATAGTCATTAATAGTAATTAAGAAGTTGGAAACTTAGAAATACAGATGGATGATAATAATATTTTTCTATTGACATATGCTTTGGTATTTTTTTTTGTTCAGATGCTAATCTCAATGGATTTTTTTTCCTTTTTTTCCCCTTCTGTGTAGCTGAAGTCCTGTACTTTCCTCCAAAGATACTGACCAGTGCTGGTTCTAACGTTTCCTTTCATTGCATCTATAAAAACAAAACCAAGATTGTAGTGTCCAAGAAGATTGTTTGGTGGCTGAATTTAGCAGAAGAAATCCCAGAAAGTCAGTATACGCTTGTGAATGATCGCGTAAGCAAAGTTACTCTTTTCAACTTGAAAGCAACAAAACCTAGAGGAGGTTTCTTCTATACCGCATTATACTGTTGTCATCAAAATAGGGAATGTCATCATAGATACGCTGAATTATATGTAGTAGGTAAGATTCCAGATGATTTTAAATTACAATTCTGGTGCATTTTAATAGTAAGGTCAGAATATTTCCATTTTAAACTCCAGTTAGCTTTTATTGAGCAGATATGACTTGCAATGCATGTTTTTTGTATAAATAATGATATCTCTATTAATAAACTTTCAATGTCTTTTGATTAGATATGAATATCAATATCACGTGTGAAACAGACGGGTACTTAACTAAAATGACTTGCAGATGGTCTGCAAACCCAAACACGTTGCTGCTGGGGAGTTCCTTGCAGTTAAGATACTCCAGGTATGTACAGCTTTTAATGCACTCTTTATGTTTAGAAAGCGTGGCTCTGGAAATACTATTACAGCAAAGAATTCTGAAGAGATGTCATTATAAAATGTGCTCAGTTTCTGTAAGCTGGGCTTTTTCCCAACTGGAAGTCCAGGGATATTAACTATGTGTGCAAGAAGAGGACCATTGATACCCAAGTCTGTAACATGGATTCTATTTACAACGTTTTTCAGCATTTGTAAAACTTGTAGATGCAGTTTGGAAGCCAGTTCTCTTACAGTAGATGTGTTTGCTTGCATCAGTCATAAAAATTATTCTTCTAGTTGCTCAAATCTACAAATTGTAAGGAAATAAGGAAAAAAACCATTTGCAGGGAGAGTGACTGAGCACGGGAACAGTGGCCCAGAGAGGCTGTAGGATCTCTGTCCTTGGAGACTCAGATCTCGACTGGACAGGACCCTGGGCAACTTCATCTTTCTTTGAATTTAACCCTGCTTTGAGTTGGAGGTAGGACTTGAGACCTCTTGAGGTCTCCATTCAATCCTCATTTTTTTTTTATAATTCTGTATATTTTTTC